GCACTTTCTACATGTTTTCCTTTAATATCTTGACTAATAATTATTTCAATTTGCCATCAACACAAGATCAGCTGAGTATCGGATATTGTTAAGATTGTGCCCGATAACAATCCATCATGCCGGGGGAGGATTACTATCTCTTTGTTTTCGAACAGAGTGCGATTCAGTTATGGCTCTCTCTGCGGACAGACACGCAGCTGGGGGTTATGGACCACGTTAGGACCAAGGAAGAACAACACAAACACAAGAGTAGTGTTACGAGGATGCATTTCTATAATAAGGGATTCCTTTGAGTTCTACTTGTTATTACAAAAAAGTTTTCATTCATGAAGTAGTTGTAAAATAAAGAAATTAGAAATAGAATGTTTGGAAGATTCTAGATCATTCTAGTATATTCGAGAAAAATCTAGATGATTCGAGAAACATCTAGAAATATGCAAATTAGGTGTTAGCCCCTATAAAAATGGGATTTTGGAAAAGGGTTGTCAGTTGATGAATGGGAATTTCTGCTGTTATCAACTCCGGCTTTTGATTCAAGGACTTTTATATCCAGCCGAAAGAATCTCTATAAAAAGTTGCCGACCAAATCAAAACCCAAAAAGAGAATTTCATGGAACAAAGTTGGTAAATAGAATTTTGACTAATTTTCATTGACCAAACTAAAAATTAATATTTATTTACACACTTTGTGGATTTCCAAATATAGCACTTAGATTACTTCACTAGCCCTAAAGTGATAAAGATATTTGATTCCTTTCCTTCTCCCTGTAACACTTTTGCCAGTAACTCTGTGTTTTCTGTTTTGTAGGCCACAATTGTTTATCTTGTATATATTTTATGTTCTGTTTTAGTAAATTAAATATTTGTTTGTGATTTAGCTCTGTGTTGTGGTAAATATTTTTTTTTTTGTTACAATTATCAACACGTAACAGTAGAAATAACAAAGGTATATTACACGAAATAATAATACAGGATGTGGAAGGTGTTAGTATGACTGTCAGTCTGGTTTGGAGTGATCTACTATCGGCTCGACTCGATTCGATATTTACTTGCCCCCCCCCCGAGGGAAAGATGTGTCACAAGGCCGAGTTTAACGTGGGTTTTCCGAGCCCGTAGGCTCGGCCAAAAAATGCCCGTAGAACCCGTATAAACAGGATCGGGTTGGTCAACCTCCCCGAACGAGACTCTGCCCTTCGGCGGAGCCTCGTCCGGGTTCCTCTCTGCTCAGAGGCAGAGAGTTCGACCGTCAAGCCGAAAAGTCGAGAGGTGTAGTATACATAGTATTAGGAAGAGTTCATTCTGTAGTTATAGGTAAGGACCCATGACACTGGGGAAAATAAAAAAAAAACTGTGAAGTGTCCGGTCATGGGGAACAGCTGCCCGGGGCTGCAGCCCCGCCTGAATGAACAAGAGAGCCGGGATCAGTAGCTATACCAATGCCGTCACACCTCATCTCAGTGGGGAGACCAGACTAAATAATATCACGGCAGGTTTTCTCTTAGGATACTCTCGCTATATCAGTTGAATAAATTTTTATTTTCGTAACCCGTCCTCTATTTGAATACAGATTGTTCCTTCTCAATTTGATGACAACCATGCATCTTGTTTTCATGCAGCGAATAGTTATTCCTTTCTTCTTAGCGTCCTGGGTATGACGATAAACTACTTCCGTGTCCTGCGAAAGGCGATCAACTACATCCACGTCCTGGGTAAGACGATAAACTACATCCACCGTGCTGGGTAAGACGACAAACTATATCTGCATCCTGGGTAAGACGATAAACTACATCCATGTCCTGGGTATGACGATAAACTACATCCGGGGTCCAGGGTATGACGATAAACTACATCCGCGTCCTGGGTAAGACAATAAACTACGTCCAAAAGCAAGGCCTCTGATTAGGAGGTTTTGAGGAGCGTAGAACCACCTCTTAATTGCTGGTCTTCCCGGGTCCAACCTGATCTGGGATGGTAGCACCTGTTAGGGTCCCAACATGGGCAAATAGTTTTCCCACCAAAATGTGGTCAATACACTATGAAAGTGTAAAAATAGGTTTTAATACCAACATCAATACATTTTTGAAGGAAAAATTATTACCAGCAATACATTTTTGAAGGAAAATATGATCAGTAATATATTTTTGAGGAAAAAAATATTGCCAGCAATACAATTTTGGGAAAAATATAATACCAGCAATACATTTTTTAAAAAATTTTTACCAACAATATATTTTTGAAAAAAAAAAATATTACCTGCAATAAAAATCTTGTCGGCATTCCAAATTTTAATACCAGCAATCCATTTTTGAAAAAAGTATTACCATCAATAAAATTCTTGTCAGTATTAAATAACTTATATGCCGTAAACCAAACTTTTCTTTTTATCTTCCTTTGATATTTATCTAACAGTTCTTACATCAACATAGTGTCGTAGCTTGATGTTTAAACTCGTATCTTTGTATTTTACTAGATACAGAAAAAAGTAATTTGTTGAGAACATAAATTGAATTAATTCTTTTCTTCTGAGCCGTATCTCTTCAGAACGTTGGCCATTAATGGCTCTCCACAACTTCTTATATTTCGTTGCGCCTAACAATATTTACTTCGTTGCTAAAGCATAGGTCCCTCTACTGCCATTCATTTACCATATACAAAGCAGTTCAAAAGTCCTTACCCTCCCATAGAATTCTCATGGGATGAACTTGACAGATAATAAAAAACAGCTCTTAGAGTCATTAAAAAAAATGAAATCAATTATCAAACTTATACATTGAGAAACTTTTACAATGAATGCCAAAAGTTTGTGCTGCAGTAATCTAAGCAAAAGGAGGATATTTTGACGAGAGCAAAAATTTAATCATAAAAACTTTTTATCTTTGTGTCATAATAACATTTCTAATTAAAAAAAATCATGTTTCGACCTTTTTTTAAATATGTACATGGTGATCCGAAAGATTTGTCACCCCCCCCTACAAAAAAGTAATAAGAACAATAGGAGAACAAGTAATACAGTAATACAAATCACATGTACTAGATTCAGTTTATTTACTCTCATTGACGCTGTTATACATCGAGAAGGTCTGTATAAACATTATCATTTTGTACCAGCCTTCTGAAATAGAAAATTATATTATGTAGTGGATGACAAGACTTTTGGACCAATCTATCTATCTATCTATCTATCTATCTATCTATCTATCTATCTATATAACAAGGTGGTCCGAAAGTCTTGTCACTCATACGAAAAAGTAATGACAACAATGGAAAAAAAAAAAATGAAAAATTGAATGTCTTTGGCTAGATGCGAAAGTTTCTCGTCAATATTCTCATGATTTAGTGGCCGACGATTCTTGCTTGATAAAATTTCTGAACTTGGAATTGTTTTCGCCACCATTCTTTCTCCTGTTGTTCTTAATTTTGTTGAAAGCATGCACTATTTGGTGAGGACGGTGGATTGGCCGTTGATCCCCCACCACCAGGTCGATGCTTGGACTTAAGGTAAGCCGTACATTCACTTGTTATCATGAGGAAGAAAGCGGACTAACACTCGCTGCCACGTATGTTGGGGCATTTATTATGACATGGCAATGAATCCGGATAACCCTATTTTCTTCAATTTCTTTTTAGAATAGACAATGGGATTTATACTAAGTTAAAACTTAATGTTGTGAAAGGGTAAAATCCAAGTGTCAGTTAGGACTCTTTGCCAATTACATCCCCCTCTTATCCTTCCCTCTGTTTTTGTCGTTCTTGTATGTGTTATATGTAATAGGAGTAGGTAGGCTTTCCTACCGCCCGGTCAACACTCCTTCCCTTTCTCTTGGACATGAGTAGAGGCTTACGCCTTGTTTCTTGTTTAGGAACGGATTCCCGGTACTCTCTCTCTCTCTCTCTGGCCTCTGTATTAGTGCAGCTCTGTTTCTCCCGTGATGTGGGCAGTCTGTGGCATCACCTCTTTATTCTGAGGGTACACGGTTGACAGTTCTCTGGTTACAGTTTCCGACTGGTAGTTAGGAGCCCTAACTCTTGCGTAGCGTCTTGAGTGGCCGCTCTGATCAACAGTTGTATAATACCGGGGTGTTTGTAGTGCCATGTCGCGCATGGAAAGGTGTCCCAGCAGTCACCTTCGGTGGGCAACCCTGAAGCTACATTATGATACAGGTTGTGCCAACTCCTCTCTGCCCACGTCACTGTCGATAGCTGTCTGCTTCTTTTACTTCGGGCCTTCTCATCTTCCAACCAAAATTCCACATGACTTACAAAGACCGAAAAAGTAATCTTAAACCAGCCACTCAAAAATCACCTAAACCCCTCAACATTTCGTTCTCCAACATCCGTGACATTAGAATAAACTTCTGCAGTATGGAATCTTTCATCACTGCAAACTGCCCGGATATACTGGTTCTCTGTGAGACCAACCTTGTCTCGTCTATCCCCTCCTCTGATCTCTCGATCCCAGGCTACCTTCCTCTCCCCAGAAAAGACTCTCTAACCCACATGCACGGACTTGGTGTTTACGTCAAGGACCATCTTCCTTTGGCCAGAGAGTTGTCTCTCGAATCGCCAGACCAGTCGTACATGTGTCTCCGACTATCTCTTCTCAATGCGGTAAGCTATCTCTTCTTTCTTTTACCGCTCTCCATCCTCCCAAGGCTGTGGGGTACTCGATAGCATTTCGGACAGCATAGACAAGGCTCTCTCCCTCCACCCGTTTGCTCACATATTTGTGTTTGGCGACTTTAACGCCCATCATATCATGTGGCTTAAGAATGCTACTACTGACCACGCAGGCATTCAAACACACATTTTTTCAGTCTCTCAATCCCTCACGCAGATAGGTAACTTCCCCACTCGTTTTGCCTTCAACCGGGAAGGTAAAGCCTCTCTTCTCGATCTGTGTTTTACCTCCATCCCCGAGTCTTGTAGCGCTACGCAACTTTGCCCTCTTGGTAACTCTGATCATGCGGTAGTATCTGATAACATCTCCTTCAACTCCACCC